TTGTTTTTTTCTATATGCAAACTTTCAAGATATACAAGTAATCCTAGTACCAAACATTGGAGGGCTATTGGAAGAGTTCTCGGTTATCTTAAAAAGACAAAGTCATTTGCCTTGTTTTATAACAAATTCTCTTCGGTACTAGAAGGCTATACTGATGTTAGTAGGATAACTAGTATCAATGATAACAAATCAACGTTTGGTTGGATTTTCACTTTAAGTGAAGGAGCTATATCATGGGCTTCTAAGAAACAGACGTGTATTACTCATTCCACAATGAAATCTGAATTTATTGTGTTGGCAACAGCAGGTAAAGAGGCGGAATGGCTAAGAAATTTATTGTTAGATATAAAGTTGCGGTCATAACCGATGCCAGCAATCTCTTTGCATTGTGATAGTCATGCAACTATGTCTAGGGCTTTTAACAAGATTTATAATGGTAAATCTAGACATATTACTTTAAGACATGAATATATTAGACAACTACTTTATGATGGTATAATCACAGTTGTCTATGTCAGGTCGGGTAAAAACCTGGCTGATCCATTAACTAAAAGACTCTTGAGAGATATGATTAAAAGCACTAAGAGTGCAATATGTTTTAAACCATTCTAAATTTGTAACTAATAATGGAAACCTTACCATTCTTGTTGCTTAGCAATTTTAAAGGTTTAAGTGGTAATAACAAGTTATTAGTGATTGTTAGCAAGCACAAGGTTTTATATACAGTGCTTATGAAAAGGAGGTTGAATATTAATTATTCTTAATGAAGACTTTATGTTCGGTTTTTGAAGAAGAAAATTCAAAATTTTGAAATTTTAATAGCTCTTCACCTATGTGAACACAAGAAGTGGCGCTGCTTCTATCAAGAGTTTAAAAATAAAACTTTGTAAGTGTTCATGAAACTAGGAGGTAGCACAAGGCCATAATATGCTGCAAAAGCTCACGGTGAACACATTTATAGAAACTTGTAAGTTTATGTGTATGATATTTCCGATCTTGTTGTATAAAATCAAGGTTTAATAAATTTAAATAACCATTGATTTTGAGAAGGTTTTAAAATGTTTATACTAATAGCAAGTTTAAGTCGAAAGACACCTTCTATACGCATCAACTTTAGTTGATTTTGATTACTTACATTATTATCTAAGTGGAGGATTGTTAGAAATAGTTAGTAATGTAAGATAATTAGTAATGTAAGGTATCCCATATTGGAAAAGTTGAAAGGGAGTGTAAGAGTTTAAAAGGAAAAACACACTAAATTTTATAAATTTGGATGATGGGGAGATTTGGAGGAAAACTCTAAATATTTCAAATCAATGGGCCTTGATTAGGCTTTAAATAAAATAACATTTAAAATCAAAAGATGGACACTTGGGGCATCTTGGGCTTGAACTTTATAAACGATTAATTATTTTTGTATTAATTAATGCCTCTTGACCCAAGAGTTGTGTCTCCTTTTTACATCTCTTTGACCTAAGAGTTGTGTCTCCTCTTTACATCTCTTTGACCCAAAAATTGTGTCTCCCATTTACATCTCTAAGGTATTATAAATACTTGTACAAATCCTTCAATATAGATATATACAAAATAACATTTCTCTATTCTGTTTTTGGGAGAATTTTAGAGTTTGCTATCTAAAATTTTGTTTGGCTTTGTTAATCTTAGAGGAATTTGCCATAAACACAGCAACAACATAGTGGGGATATAATTTCCTTAAGGAGAGTGAATATACGATCAAAGCCTTCTAATCTGTTAAAGTGGATAACTAACACAAATAACACTCGTTGGAAAATAAGAATTCAAAGATAAGAAAAATAATAAAAACATGACACAAATATATAACGTGATTCGATACAACGTACCCTCTCTTAATATACAGTACCTACATCCACGGAAGGTGTACACATTATATACATCCACGGACCAAGAATCTATATCGATATATTATTCACTTAAAAATTGATTATCTAGTAACTAATTACATAAAACACACCTTTATTTATAATGATAAAATATTGTAACTCAAACCTATTCAGATAAAATTTGATCTTTATGTTTCATATCACATGTCTAATATATACAATCATGATATATTAAAACTCTTCCAATACTTTTCCTATTCCATTCATATTCTTATATTGATTACCTAATAAACTCTCTTTCATGACAATTAGAGAGTTTTGATCAAATTCTAACAAAACCTTACAATAGTAAGAATCTCATGCATGCACTGAGCCGGATTTTTAAATCCATCCCAATTTTTTTTCCCGGTTCTAGCCTTTTACAACTAGGCATGTGAATATATTAAATTTCATTCAAAATCTTACTAGTGAAACATGAACTAACAAGATCAGACAAAAATCACTGTATCATGTTGTAGGATTTAAATTTGAATTTACAAACATCCAATCTGATTAAACATATATATTTTTATGCTTATAAATACATGATGAAATTGAGTGACTTTATGATAAAAGTAAATTAAAATTCAAACATACTTTCATAAAATTTAACTCAATTATAAGTTATCCAAATTAAACAAAAATTTTAATTTTTACAAAATTCGAATGTAGATTGTAAAAATTGTCGATATTTAGATTAGAGTTTTTAAATCAAATTTTGATTTCAGAAAGATCCAAATCCAAACTAAATCTGATCTATTGACCAACATATTCCGACTAATTTTCCCAACACGTGCTATTCCCCATCCCACATTCATCAGCTAATTACCACGATCAATCCCTCGGGAATGATCTCAAGAAGAGACTCGAACTTTTACTATCCACTGCAATACCCATTTTCGTAGTGTATAGAAGGTCAACCCGCACAGTTAGTACAGGGTTGAGTAGTTGGTTTTTTTTTGGGGAGTGGAGGGGGGGGGGGGGGGTACTAGGGGATGCCCAAACTATGGGTTGGGTACGAAAAAACTGACCCTAAAGAGCAAACCAGAATTCCATGTACATGTCACTACTCCCATGCCTTTTGCAATATAGCATTGATTGTCATCAAGAATTAAAGTGAAAATTTCGTGAGTTCATTAATTATAATGTTGGATTACAACTATGAAGGGCATCTACAACATTTTTCTATGATTTTGTCCTTATGAAGAGTGGGCCTTGACACAATAATAAATTATCTAAAGTATCTAAGAGTTTGAAACGCAAAAACAACATTTTTTCATGCAAGAATTAAACTACGTTCATCTCAACGTCTCCATGACCCCCCATAGTGACGAAAGAAAGACAAACTCTTTTCTTTTCTTTTTTTCAAACTCTCATATTAGCCATACTATTGCCACTGATGAAAAAAAAAAAAAAAAAATATATATAAACTCATGCGACAGTTTCAAATAGACTCATCTAACTGCCACTAACATCCCTCTCAAAATTATTCACATTGTATCGTACTTTCAGACACGAGTTACCCTAATATACATATAAAACAAACATGTTTTTTTGGATGAGATGGCTTAAAAAGTCTTCCCTCCTCCAAAAACTTGATTTTTAGATTTTTAAAATATTTAATTAACCCCTTCCTATCAAATTATTTCATTTGACTTATTTAACTACTAGTTATTGTCTGTGTCTGAAGACACAGAGTAATAAAAAATAATAAATAATAAACATATTTATATTCATATCTAAAATCAAATCACAAACATAAAGAATATATAATGAATTTAAGCTTCGATTTATAGTGGAAGTGAGATGTGATAGGCGACAGTAGTGGTGATAGGAGATAGTAATGATTGTGGTGAGTAGCAATGACCGTGGTGGCAGCGGCGACGACGGTGGCAACAACGATAGTGGTGGTGGTGGCGGCGGCGACAGTGACGGTGGCAACAGTGGCAACGACAGTGACAGTGTCGATGGCGACGGCGATGGTTGTGGTGGTGGTGGTGGTGGAAGTAATGGTGGAACAATTTCAAACACTATTTTTTTTTTTAAAGTACTTATGAGAAATAATTTTTAAAAATACTTTTAAAAAATCACTTCAAATACATCTTTAGGACCTTATTTTTCTTATTAAATTTAAGGTGTTAATATTAACTGTTAAATTAACTTTAAAGTAAAATTTAAATCAATCTCAACCACAAAAAATAAAAATTATTTTTTTTATCTTTTAAAATTTAAATTATAAGTTACTTTATTATATAAATACTATGTATCTTTTATAACTACTCCAACTATCTTTTTAAACTATTCAAATTTATATTTGCCCTCATCTTTCTTTATTTTCACTTTTAACAAATAATATTTTAATTCATTATTAAGTAATTTTTCAGTAATATGAGAATTAAAAAAGAGTGAAACAAGGCAATGACAAGTGAGACATAATTCGTGCATCGCACATAACACCCGCTAGTAAATAAATAAATAAGTTCTTACTAGAACTTTGAGACACACTGGCAGAGAAGAGGAACACCAAAGGTCCCTAGGAATGTCCTTCTGAAACTCACTAAAAAATCAAAAGTTCTAGTAAAGCTTCTACCAATTATCAAAATATTGTTTCGGTCACTAAAAAATAGAAAAATTTCAACCTGCTTCGGAAACATAATAAAAACTATTAAAAATTTAAAAATTATTTGATCAAAATATATCAAAGAATCTTGAAATACCTTAAAACATTCTAAAATAATTTTACAAAAATATTGAAATATTAGAAAACATCTCGAAATATTACGGAATACTCCGAAACATTAAAATTTCAATTTCATCAATAATTCGTTTCGATCTCAAAATATTTCAAACGTTCCAAAACAAAATTTTTATCCTTAACTTCTACATAATCTTTACCAGGTTGAAAACCTGAACTTGATGTTCACAGGTCCCTGGGTGGCTCCCATATCCCTCTCTATCACAAGTAGGATAGATACTGTTGTATATTTTTAGAACAAAGATTAATATCCATCATTTTAATGCAGTTAGGAGAATTTAAAAGTAAAAGCTTACCGTGTACTAGACAACAAATGAGTACAAATAAGCTCAAGAAGCATAATTATCAACAGTGTTTTAGTCAATTCACGCGTCAATTTGTTACCCACAAGGTCAAAATGGAAAAAAGAAACAATTATTTTTCCTCCCACATTAAATATAAATAAAGTTGAGAGTAAATATTCTACATTAGTGTGACTAAAAGTCTTTTTATGATTTTTGACAAACGACTCATCACAAAAAGGAAATAAACTCATAGCATCTGATTTTTCGTATGCGATGTAATAAGAAAACACCATACTGTAATTAACTATTCTTCTTCCACAGAGACCTCAGCAAGTGAGAACAATGAAGCTGCGGAAATTGACTACAAGTCATTGTGACTCTATATATATGGCTAACCGTAGCAAGACAAAACCATGTATACCTCACTCTTAGAGACCTGTTTGGAAAGTGTATTTAGCTTCAGCAAAGTGGGATTTCACCAGTGAGAGAGCCCTAAAGCGATGAGAGATCTTGTTCTTTTCTCCCTTGGGCATTTCAGCATAACTACAAGAAGAACATAAATAGCTTAATCGCCAGATAACAAATAAAACTGAATGAAAAAGAACTGCGTGAGAGCAAAGTGAAAGGAGGATGGGTGTACGTTTGATCATAGCCATCAGGTTGAAATATTGGATCCCATCCAAAATCCATAGGTCCCCTCGCAGGAACTATCTTTCCCTACAATTTCAGCCACAATTGTCAGTTCTGCTAATTAAATAGCACGCCTTAAAAAAATTCAACCCCAAATTCTCTACAAAATAATTTCCAAGTTGTAAAGACAAAGAGGGTATATCAGAAGCAGAAAGGGAATATAGAGCAAATGTGACATGTCAACGGCATAGAAAATGTATTGCTAAGCTGAAGAACAAGCAAAATTCCCAAGAAAGAGTATTCAAGCCCAGTAAAGTAAAAACTGTCAGGAACAGCTCAAGAAATTTAGTTACAATCCCTATTCTCCATTCTCCAAGGTAACAACTTTGTTGAGTGCAAAAATTCCTGCAAACTTATTACAAAAAGGGTCATGAAAGCGAAGTATAACAGATGGGTCACCAAAGGTAAACTATACAATGAAATAGATCCCTATTCTGTCCAGCTCATGGATATCCTTTCTATTACCTCCAGAAAATATTCCATCCCTACATGTCACCACTCATAGATCCCACATAGTATTCATGAGAAACTCTTCTTCCTGAAACTAAAAGCCTTTAATTAATAATCACTGCTGTTTTTTTTAACCCATTTTCTGCTAACTCATCAAAAGCATCCACTGTAACAACATCCGCTGTGGGCAACATAATAAAACATTTTGTATTCAAGTTGCAGCATCATATGTCCCATAAATTTTGCCATTTCTCTCTCAACCCGAAGCATTCTTGCAGTAAGGTCAGGTCTTGCTCAAGTATAGTTTACTATCTTAATGCACTGTTCTTAGAATTTTTAGGGGGTGGATTTCCTAACTTTGTAGCAACCTCGTTCAAACGCAATCTGAAGGAATTAAGATTCATTGTTAATATAGACACTTGAACCGGAGAATGTAGAAGTGCTAGATTTGCAGGAAAAAAACTATAACTTTTCAAAGCAAGATGAATTTAGATATCACTTCAGCAAAACATGACACACCAGACAAACTAGAGTTCCTAAAGAACACAAAGTGGCCTCAAAGCTGATTGTAAGAGTTTATACCACTGTTAACCCATAGTTGCCACTGCAAATGAAATAAGAATGGGAGGCGGAGGAGGAGGGGGGGCACATTCCTTACAAGCTCCCAACATGTCAACAGGGAATCACAATATGAAAGTTGTAGTGTATCTATAATGGTAGATTCCACAAAACTAATTATTTCAATACATGAACAGGGACAATGACACTGGAACTCATGCTTAGTGTCAATGCTGGTTTCCACGTAGTATAAAACCATAATGACCAGTGAATATAGCTATACACAATGCAAAAACCCAATGAATACAGGGCTTGATGAATATGAAACACAGGTAAAGGCCCACGACAGAGTCAGCATAGCAACCCCTGATTGATGTTTCAAGGAAGAAACAAGTTTCAAGCACCACGACCTAGCAATACCCAAGTGTAATAAATATATAAATAAGTGACCATACAGCAATTATGTCAATTTCTCCAACTTCGCATCACAGCCTAGGTCCTTTTTCTTCTTTTTTCTCTCTATCTAGTTTTTTTTTTTTTTTGGGGGGGGGGGGGGGGGGGGTTGGTTACAAGAGAACTGATGACATCGAGTGGAGCCTTAACATGGAAAGAAATAGACCAGCCATGAGACTGATCCTCATAAGTTTCAAACAGACCTCAATGCAATAGGGCTTTCTAGTGAATATGATGTGCAGTGCGAACCTAAAATGTGATTTCAAGACATATCCAGCAACTGAAAGGCAAGAAATGAACTTCCAGAAGCCACCACAAAAGTTATTCCACGGCATGATCATCAAGCTCTTTCACCAAACAGCTTGGCATGCACTACTACATCCAGCAACAAGCTTTGCGCTGGTGTGCTTGTGATGGTATGCAATGGAGACATCCTTGAGGATGAGTAAAAACTTATTACGAGATGTACCTTTGCCTACCTCTAACAGTGTAAATCCAATAATAAAGTTAAAAATGCAAGTATATTTGATAGGTTCTCTTGATTGATGAATGATGATTCATAACCAAGGTCTTTTCAAATCAACAAGTTTGGATTCTTACATAAATGCTCTCATCCTATATTAGCTTCTCTTGTCTCTTATTAATCTCCTCCAATTTACTTATCTTTGGACACAATAAAGAGCTTTCAACTAGAACAACTTGCATTTGACTAATAAGCAAGCAATTGCACATAGTATTAGAAACACACAGCTCATATCAATGAGTTTGGGTCCATGGCTCCATTTGAGGTTTATTACATCCAAAATATATTTGATGATTTGTCAATATCAGTGAGCATAGACCTAGGCAAGGCGCAGAGAAGAAAAGAATTAATTTCATACATTGTTAGGCTCAGCTTCCTTCAAATCTACAGTTTGTGAGCAACAAGCATTATAGTAGGGAGTGTGCAAGGATACTTGATATTGTATAATGAAGTTCCTATCTTTGCTGTGGAGGCAAAAGAGTAGGTTAAATAGCTGTACTTAATGATTAGTTGGTTACCTTAAAACAAGGGAATACCTCCGTCAGTTGAGAGGCATCCTTTCAACAATTGCCTCATGTCCTCAAAATTCATTGGAGCTAAAATCCATCATATATCTTATTAGTCACATCTACAGAAGACGGAATTCACTAGGAGAAAAACCCAAAATTTGGAAGTACAGCTAAGGTTACAACTGCAATATAATTCTCTCATATGGGTTCTATTTGTCTCTTTTAATTTTATACCTGCCTAAGAATCACAAAAGCTGTTCAGTGATAAATGCGTGTTACTTGTGCACTAAAGCAACTTTATCTGGTTAATTCTCTCTACAGGTTACTTCTATTTAAGCAGCATGATGTAGTGCCTGAAAGTCTGGAACAAATTGACAAGTCACCAAACGCATACATTTATTCCTTTGGAACTGTTAGAAGTCAGGAAGAATTACATTTGATTCTTGTCCCAAAGAGAGGCTATTAGAATTGAAGAAGCATACCGGAGTTTTTCCAAGAAAAGTTATTGGCTCTGCATCTGCACCAAGAGCAAGAGAAAAGACACACAGAGCATATGCTGATTTATCCTCGTACGCCATCAACATATTGTTCAGGCCTACGAAAAAAGCACCACAAGCACTAGATAAAAATAATAACGTGGATGCATAAACATAAAGTAAACAAACTTAAGTGAGTGTAACAACCTTCATGACCGATCTTCTGCAAGAACCACTTGCTGCATGATTTAGTTTTCCAATTCAATAGCAATCAAAGTTGAAAACAAAGGAAAAGGTCAGGGTCATACAGCAGAAAGATGTGTTACAACATAAAAGAACATCTTTGCCAGCTTCTTGTCAACTTCTTAGCCTTCGTTTCACCTTATTGCCAATTTTGTACCCTTATTTTCACCTTGTTAACTCCCAATGAGAAACTTGAAGGGAGTCAGGTCGTCAGTAATCGATTAAGTCCATGTCTTTCTACTCATTTTTACAGTTAATATATAGTCGGTTGGACTAGGTCTCGTAAAATTTTCTGCACATTGAATATTTGACTGATCGATAGTTGACAACTATATTGATAAGATAAAAAGATTAACACTTGCAAAGCTGAAACTACTATGGGTAGTGGTCTAATAATGTAATTGCTGCCACCAAAAAAATATAGTCCAAGTCGCCTACTCATAAGCCAATATGGAAGCCTCCACCAACATAAATACAATTTCTCATAAAAACTAGCCTAGAAGATTTTTGATAATGCATTGGTAGAAAAGAATTAGTTTCGTGTCTTACAATAGAAACATCATATCAAAACTGCAACAGACTCCCTGATATTGCATCGAATACTGATACATCAACTCCTAAGTTTTATGTGGTGCGACAGAAAACAAGCCTCTCCCAAGGTGAAGAAAAACTAGGCCTTCAAAATACATTTCACAAGCATGGCGCGTGCTACGGGTTCTAGTCATATAAATAGGAAAAAGATCACCAAGCAATCACACAAATCACATTAGCCACTACTCCCAAACATCTTCTTATGACACCTGCCCAACACCATGTAAGCCCCCCCGCCCCCCCCCACCAAAAAAAAACCCCAACCCCCCACTCCCAAAATTTCTTATGCTCTTCAATTACGCCTGATGATTGTTTATAGTGAATCTGTTCACCAAAATTCAATGAAAGAAGGTTGGGCTCGTGTAACACTTAAATGGAATAAGTGACCAAACAAAACGAACATTTAAATTATCAGAAGCCTGTGAACTTGATCTGAATAAAGGGAGAAGGATTTCACCTCCATAGGAAGAACAACAATAAGTACAGAAACTTACATGTAAGGCCCTGTAAAACAGTTTCAAAAAATCAAGAATGTCTTCATTAAACACCAAAATACACACATTATTATATAAAGAAAGAAAGAAAGATCTTATCAACAAAACGGAAAACTAAGAGTAAAGAATTGGCACAATCAACCCTATAAAAATTACCTGGAAGATCCTTTAGAGCATTGAAACAGAGGCAAGTATCCTCTACCAATACAGGGCCATTCACCTTCCCATCACCAAAATACAACAATCAGAAGTACTTCTATTATATCAATCAACAATATGTGTGTGTCTATATATATATATATATATAGAGAGAGAGAGAGAGAGGTTACCTCCTTGGCGGCCAGTCTTGCCTTTTCTTTAGAAATATCTTCAGGCTCACCTTGTAGCTCTGGCACTGTACCCAAAAAAAACCCCCCAAAACCCACAAAAATCCAGGAGAGAGAAAAAAAAGGTTTTAGAGAGAGAAGCCACTACATGCTCTACATGTATGTATATAGTGATACAAATGTATAGATAGTGAAAGAGAAAGAGAGTACAATCGAGCTTGAGGGACTGAAAGGGAATGGAGTGGCCCAATATGGCTTTGACTTCCTCCAGCTTCTTGGCGTTGCCGGTCACGAAGGTTACCGGGCGTGAAAGCACCATTCCTGAGTTCGCAACCCTCGTGGCCGCCATTTTTTTTCTTTCAGTTTGTCTGTTTCTGTTATGATAATCACACACAGATTTTGACGGAAAACCAGAGAGAAAAATGTTCTGGTTCGGGGCTTCTGAGCTGCCTGCCACTGCTATTACATGTCGATGGGACCACGCACCCAAACTCTGTTAACGGGTCGGATAAAGATCCGATACTGAACAACATCAAAACTAGGGTGTTAATCAAAATACGATAACAAAATACAAAATTACAAAGTTTCGATTTTTGTTAGTTCAACCATTTTATAAATAAATAAACATGACACGATACAGTTAATGTAATGTATAGATGAAGCTAATAAAAAAAAAATACATAGCACGACTTATTTATAGATCAATTATGCATAATTAATACACGTCACAAAATCAACATGACATGATTTGCTAGACATGAATTAATAAATTAATCGGATATAAATATAGTGTTTTTTATATGAATCTGTTAAAACCCGACAAAAACCCGCTTCACCAGCCACAATTTACCGGCCTAGTAAATGAAGCTTAATTTGGTAATTTTATATTTAAAAATGTAACTTCACCCATAAAAATTATAACAATAATCGATTATGCTTTGTATAGACGAAACGATTATCTCAAAAACTTATAACCAAACCGTTGTCTTTTTCCATGCTATAGAAACTTTATTTTTTTTATTGATTAGATTATACAAATGATTCTCAAACTATGAGTTTATAACCCTTAATTGGTTGAGTAAACTATATATATGACTATCAAATTATGACTCTTATATAAATTAAGGCTCATAATTTTTTTTTGTGTCAATTGAGTCTCTGAACTCTATAATTGTGTCAATTAAGTCTTCCTTTGTGTCATATGGTTACATGAAAGACGGTGAATAAAAAGGCTTAATCGACGTAATTAAAGATTTCAAAAGCTCAATTAATACAAAAAACAAAGTTTAAGAACTTAATTGATACGAAATTCATAGTCTGAGAATTGTATATATAGTTTACTCCAACTCATAAGTGACACCTGAATGTTCCATTAGAAAATCTAACCAAAAAAGATAAAAGTGTTCAATTAACATAATTAGAGAGTTCTAGGATTTAATTGACATAAGGATCATAATTTAAGGATTATATGTATAATTTACTCTTTTTGATTAATTAAAGAGTACAATATTTTTGTTTCACGGTCCCATTACTTCATTATTTTCACAATTAATAATCATAAAAAATGGGCTAAAAATCTATAATCACAATTATTTTTGATATGATATTAAAAATATTGAATCTCATATGGATAGAGACTCTAGACCCCATCAAATTTTAGAACTTGATATTAGTCCACTAGTTCTACTAAAAGGCCACATCATTATGTCAAATTTTAAGGTTCAAATAACATTACTTATATTTTAAAACTAATTCCAATTTTTTTTTGTGAATTATACCTACACTTAAGAGTCCAGAATTAAAATATATATATATAACTAACGCCGATAATCGAGCCGAACTGCGAGCTTTTTTTTTAAACGAGTTTAAAAAATTTATTCAAGTTCAATTTTTTAAAAAAATTGGCCAAACTCGAGCCGAACCCAAAACGAGCAAAACTCGAATCGAGTCCAAAATGAGCCGAATCCAAATAACTCTACTATTTTACATATAAATAAGCTAAATTTTGTAAACTCGAAACAAACCTTTTAGGCTCATTTTATAAACAAGCCTAACAAATTATTCAAACTCGTCTCATTTAAAACACGAGCCAAGCTTGAGTTTAGTTTTATCCAAGCCGAACCCGAGTCAAGGCTGATTAGCTCACTTCAATTATGAGCACTAATTATAACTATCCTCTAATGAGTCAAAACATAACTTGTGTGATATAGTACTGAAACGAGCTGAAATATTGATTCTTAGTTTTCTATTTACAATTATCACAAAAATAGAGTGAGTTTTCAACATGCCAAAAAGAACTGCATTTGCAAATATAATTTAGTCCTGTGGGAGTCGAAGATGCTTGTTGGCAACTTTTCACCAAGAAACCTGTATGATCCCCAGTTTCTAATGGTATGATTTGAGGTGGAAAACTTGGCAGATTGGCTTGTACGAACTCTTGGATGCAGCTTGCAAAAACTTCTTAGTTGCAGCTTCATTCTCTTCTAAGCTGGTCTGAACAAAAAACCTTATCCACCAAGACAAGCTCCGCAATTTGGCCTTAACAAGAAATACAAACCACTCGATTAATAGTTGAATCTTGGATACTTAATCAGGGGAAGCTACAAAAGATTTCTGTCCCTTACTAGACACTCAAAGGCTAACAATGAAAAAAATCAAATTTATTAATGCAGCAGGAGCCACCTTTTTCGCTCTATTGACAGTGTTTTACCTAGTCAAGAATCATATGTACCCAACCTTATGCTTTCATGGCATAGCATATCTTATTTCAGCATGTACTCTGTTTAAAATTCCAAAAAAACAAAATGAAGACACGGGATCCATTGGTTAATGGTTACATAGCTAAAACATAAACATGTGCTTCATGACATGATTTTCCATACTTTGTTCTTTTTCATTCTTTGAGGTGACAAATGGGGTTCAAGCTTCAATGTCCAAAACTTACCCAGATATTTGGTATCACATACTAAAACGCTTCATGATAAAAGTTAGACATTATATTCACTCACAATAATTCTGTTGCCAACTATACAAAGTGTGAGACGAAATTTTTCACTAAGCAAAAGATAAGAATACAGAATCTTAAACAAACCAATTCAAAATTATGCTATCCAAAGATAAATGATGCAAGTCTGTTAAAATCATTTGGCCTGTGTTACTGCTAAATTGGTTAGGAAGCAAATAAAAGTCTGAAGTCAATAAAACTGTTGCTCAAGACGCTATAAAAGCCATCAACTTTGTTAAAGTCGTCTAAAGGCAAACAAAATAGCACCACAATAACTAAAATATGAAATGCAAAATGATAAATCACTTACTGGGCGGCCAAATTTGGAAAGCTCTGATACTTTGGCTCTATGCTGACCTGGATACCCTACAAATGAAAATGATATGTCAACATAGATTTATATTGCAATAAGTGTAAAAATCAACTACTTAAACTTTTTAAAGCTAAAACTTTGTAAGTATGCACTTTTCCTAATCCAATTGATTGACAATATCAAGTTATCAACCAAACCAAAACAGAGTCTGCACAGGTCAGCAACTAGTTTTTAACAGAATAAGAACAAATATATACACCGTTATAAACAAAATAAATACAAAACTAACTTTTTTAAGGGATTTACCAGAAAATACAACAAAACCATCAGCAGATACCCTTGCTAATTCTGGAAGAGTCTTGTTAAGGTACTTTGGGGACAAGTAATCTAACGCATCGGACACTATGACAAGAGAAAATGACTTTGCCCGGTAGGGAAGGGGAAACTTAATATCAGCCATGCGCACAATGCCTTTGCGCACAAGACTCTTGCAGCTGCCATCAGCATCATCTAAATCATATGGCTCCACACCCCAGGCTTCAATATCCCCTTCTTGTACTAATTTAGAGACAACTGAACAGGTATCAGGGCCTATGTGTAGTACTTTACGCATACTATCACCATATGCTTTCTTCAAAATAGGTAATGCTCTCTGAACTTCCAACGTGCATGAAACACTACCTGCAGATGCATATTTTAGATCTTTAGTTGGAAAATTCTGCTCCATCTGAGAAGTTGTTTGCTGATGTAAAGTAATAAATAGAACTAGGATCACCAAAGAATCCCTACAATAAGGATTAATAGTGCTTAGCGTGTGCAATCACAGCGTATTGATCATACTCCTTTTCGTGTCTCCTAGCATTTAAAGGCTGATCATAACTACAATTAAGAATCAGATGTCCACTGACATCAAGGCATGCCTAGTGTTTGTCCCAACAAGGGAGATTACATTTTTCAAACTACATGGTACGCATTGTCAAATATCAAATCACACAGAGGAGACTTCCTATAGAAAAGAACTTTAGCAGTCAAACATTTTAAGTCAAGAGACAGTGCCATAACAGTACGACTTACTCAAACCCAGATGTTATAGATAAAGCAAGTAGATGATGGTGATCAGAAAATATGAAAAACAACAACGATATCTAACAGGTATAGTAGCAGTAAGGAACCAAAAATAACAATTCTTAGTGGATTTGAGAGAGTTTCCTTAATTCAATGTATTGTTGCTAAGCACCATGTTCGGCATCTGAGTGGACATCATTTTCGTAAGCATAGCATTCAGCCAAAAAAAGTTAAGTCTTTCATCTAGATACACAACACCATACATTAAATTGATAAATTCATTCCAATATGAAGTACCAAATTGTTGAAGCAATTAGGTTATGCACATATGCATACCAAATTTTGATCAATTAGATCTGTGAAATGGTACGTGAAGTATGACACAATGCGTCTAAGTAAACTATCATGGATAGTTACCTTCAAGCTTACTCAAAGCCTCTGCATTGTTGCTGTTTCCACCTGTGTTTTTTGAATACACTTGAGGGTAAGAATGCATGGCAGAAAAAATAAACCCATGACATACACAAAAAAAGTACTCTGTCGTTCAAAATTGAAACTAGCTACAACAGATCCTCTTCACCATTTTTTTGTTCTCATTCTCATTGCGACAAGAGATAAACTGGCCAAAACAAACTCATAGGAAATAAAACTTAGACCATAGCTCATATAACCAAACACAGACCTGAACCACTATACACATAGCCAATTATCAGGATCGCACCCTGAAAATTTCACAGAAAACATCTGAATTCAGCAGTTTTCAACTATTAAATCGACACCCAAATCAGCACTTACGTTCGATGTGGTGGTCACATTCAGAGGAATCAATCATATATGAGAGAGAGTGCTCGAAAAAGAACAAAAACATACCACAATCAAAAGTCCAACAGATAATAACGGTGATGAGGGTGATTTGGGGTGCAAAGGATTCACAAACGCAATGCCTCCACCATCAGCAACCCTTCGAGATGTGTATGGCCTCCTTGACATTGATGACATTGCTATAATACACTGGTAATGTAAATTCAAGACCTAGCATTAATCGAAATGAAAATTCTGTACTACAATTGACCTAATTTTGAACAGGGAAGAGAGTTCCGCAGAGTAGAGAACTACCTGGAACGAAGTATCGGAGAAGATGAGTTGGAGATGGTGAGGTGAGATCTAGGTCTGTTCGTTTCGCTTCCTCTCCGCACAGTCTCGGAGGGTGAATTATATCTGTGATAGGTTACTACTTGGATTAATTATATTTTCGAACCCTGAACTATAAACTATTTCTGATTCTGCCCCTCCACTATCCATTGTCTCACATTACCTCTCCAATTACCATGCTAATTAGTTTTATTTTCTCATAAAACTGTGAATTAGTATTTTTCCAAAGCCTTTAAACAATAAGATCTCAGAAGGAACGAAAATGTCTTTTTCATCAAAATGTCATCTTCTAACTAATTTTTCAAAAATTAAATCTCTGGGATGACTTTTTTTTTTGTTGAGCAATCTCTAATAGGACGTTCAATTTCCTAAAATGCATGTATTTAGAGATACGAAATTTTACCAAATGAGTTTTACTTTGCTCCAAGATATAATGACTATTATTTTGTTCGAAGCTTGAGCAATGTTCGACTTAGAGACGAAGTGAAATAAATTCAAGTAATTCAAAGTTAATGTGTGGCACAATTAGTAAATGGGAGGAAAAAATATGATTGGAATTATTATTTGGTGGGTTAAAGTGTAATGTCATAAAAATAGATGCAATCCAATTGGAGGTTTACATTGCATCTATTTTATAATATTGAGGTCGTAATTTGAGCTTGAAATGGAGTCACATTGCATCGGTTTTATAACATTGAAGGTACAATTTAAGAATCTTATTTTTCAAAGGTACAAATTAAGAATCAAAAGATTTTTTTGTGTACAAAGTGAAATTAGGCTTATTTACACGCGACCCCCCCATAATTTAAATCCTTGCACTCAACTCGTGACGTGTGCAAAAGTGGATGCTTATTATATAATTTGTAAAATTATAAAAATACCCTCGTTGTGACTACAGCTGCTAATCAAACTGCATTATTTGATTTGTTTTCTAAACGAATTTCAAATTGAACAAATTTTTTAGAATTATTTATAAAATAAATTTTACAAGTTCGACTCAAATTTAATAGGTTCGACTCATTTATATATAAATACTTGGGGTTCATTTGTTTTTAACTCGTTCAAGTTCGGTTCATTTTTTAAAATGATCATTTAAAAACAAATTTTTTAAATTCAATTCAAACCCGACTCATTGTTGGACCAAGAGGCTAATTGTGACATTCCATTTTCAATGGCATGTCCTCTTTTGAGTTAGACCGTCTACGCTCTCTCTCTCTCTCTCTCTCGCATTGTCATCCATTTGCAATTTTCAGTAGAATCATCTTGCTCTCATAAATTTGATACCCCCAAAACCAGCATAACAATCCGTGGTGGTGCCCCCAAATTACTACCACCCTGAATCGACGCAGCAAACCCAACAAAATCCCCAACCACCGTCGCCACCGTGCAATCCTTATCAACAGTTTTGTATCGATCGGGCTAGGTTTTGTGATAGGTAAGGGAGTTTTCAGATGGGTGGGTTTGCCGTTTACTCACAGAGAGAGAGAGAGAGAGAATGTAAATGAAGTGAATCCAGATGTACGGATGACGAATGAAAAATCAAGCTGCGCACATGGAAAAGGGAGGAATTTCACCAAAGGATCAGCTTCTGGTACAGGTAGGAGATTGATTCTTGAAGTTGAGATGAATTCAGGTGAAGTTGGTGTTAATTCAAATGCAGAGAATTATGAGAGCCAGTCGGTTGATGGGTCGTCACTGAGCTCAAAGGATGCTTCTAGTAATTCATCCAAATATGTTAGTCAGTGTTGGTGGTGATGATACTTCCAACTGGGGTTCAACGACTGAGAATTATGTTACCTACGGTAGTTATGGTGGCTATGGTAATGCCGGCGGTGGCGGTGATCCTTCGAATTGGAGTTCAGGAAGTTAGAGAGAGAGATATGAGTGGGACAGATTCTACAAGAGTGGGGTCGGTTGGGTTGAAAACTTGGATTGTATAAAGTTATTTTATTTTATATTATTGTACTTTACTTTATTATATTCATAATCGATACCTAAGAATATATGAAATAAAAACGATACGATTCCAAAATAATAATAGCAAGCATAGATTCGAATTGTTCCCCTCTAATTGTTAAATAATTGGACAATCCTTATTCTTTTTGCATGGTGAAGATTGCTCCGCATCAACAAATCTTACCATATTTGAAAAACACATTGAATTTTAAAATTCAAAACGAATCAATTTTTTGCTATGGATAAATCCTCAACATCTAAAAAAAATTGAAGGATTGTCAAATTATTTAAGAATTGTAGAGTAACCAAACCCTAAAATTTCAACCCTGTTCACGAATCTTAGTTCAAATTAAATGTTCGTAACGTTGAGGTCTCAAATATATAATTTTTTTTTATGAGTATGTGGATCAATTTACGCGTACCTCAATTAATTCGATTCTTGGTCCGGTTAAAAGTAAGTCATTTACACTGGAATTAAGATATTCATGAGAGATAAATTCCCTTATGATTTAGTCCAAAAAATTTGCAAAGACTCAAAGTCAAGACATCTGAATTTACAACTCGTCTTTGTAATTATTTGCACCACATTTCTGGATATTTTTTTTTTATGTGAAACAAAAAACTAAATAGATCTCCTAATAAAGCAGGTACTAGCTAAATCAGAATTCAAAAGCCCTCCTGGTTCAGAGGTCCCAAATATTTGTGAAGCCACTTCAAGGGACTTAACTTTTGTGAGTTATTTACCAAGATATAGGTGTTTTAAAACATATATACCAAAAAATAGTATTTTTAAACTTATTTATTGCATTATGACAGTTTTTAAAAGCGGATTCAATAATTCTGCTTTTATTAAAAAACAGATTCAATAAAACTGTTTTATAAAAAAAAAAAAAAAAATTGGGCTATGGGAAAAGGGTGTTTACCAAACACGATTTTAAGAAAAATGGTACAAAGCGTGTTTCCTTACAGAAAAGACTATGACCTGGGCAGGTTATCGTTCAAAAAAAGCAGGGTTAATAACTCTTTATTTATTTTTTTTTGGTGAACCTGAACTATTTGCAATTGACATTGCGAACTTTTGATACTTTTTGAGTCATTGTGTATAAATCAAATTTATTCTTGACAAACCCATGAACCATTTCACCAAATAGAAGAAAGAAAACTGGCATAAATGAGCCATGAATGATAACTCAGAGATCATGAGAACCCAATCATACTTACGAGCAAAAGAAAACAGAGAGCAGTTGATTATAACCTGCAAAACTAAATATGTGGTTGTTTTGTTTTTCACCATTGTTTTTTTTGATACTTGTTTTTCACCATTTAAGAAGGGCCATGAGCAACTGGGTTTCGTTATAACCCAGATGCAAACACACAGGGTGATTCTAAATTTTCTGGGATCCTCGATGCCAAACACTAGGGAGTAATTACCATGGCAAGGGTAAGAATATTTTGAAGCTATTGATTCTACAAGATATGTTGCAAAGAGCTGAAGGGGAAGATGAAATTTAACACAGAGAAAGAGAGACAGAGAGTGAGTTGAGCAAATTTGATTCTATATTGAATGAAGACACTAGATTGGTCCATTGATCCAATCTGATTGCTCTTTCTCCTTGAGTTTCCACGAAACAAGGACTGTAAGTTCCCCAAAATTTGTTGCTCCAGTATAGAACCAGCAATTGTCCAGTTCATGATCCCTTTGTGCGAAAAAGTATAAAAAGTGTGGTTACTAACCACGCTGTTTTCACTACTAAAAGTAAAGTGATTAATAATATTCATCTAATATTAAAGTTAAAAAATTAAATTTTTAGGTTGTAAAAATACAATAACAGTCGAGATTGATTTAATTTTCATCTATTTTGATATAATAATAAAAAATTCATTCCAAAATTTTTTTTGGTGTTTAAAAATTATCTTCTCTTTATTATCCTTAATATCAAACAATTTAAGCAAACTACACATATCTCTTATTTTTCTCTATTTATTTTAATTTTAAATAATATATTTAAAAAAAATTAAATTACTATTTAAAATATAAATATTAAAAAATTAATATTTAATATTTAATATTATATAATATCTTTATACACGAGATTATTGTTATTTCGTTTTAATATTTAAAGGTTATATACTTTGAGCACTGGACCTTGAACCGCACCAGATACCAGTGGTATCATATAAGGAAGGTGCCACCTCGTGCCACCTCAAGCTCTCTCTCTCTCTCTCTCTCGCTCGCGGTATTGTCGCCGGTAGGAATTCCCATCACTTTCGTAGACGACGATTCTCCTTCGTACACGTAAACTTCGTTCTCTTTGTTTCCTCATTATCATCAAGCCATTTCCTTACCGCCTCAAGGCTTCTCTCTCCACACAAAATAATATGCCAACGATTTCTGAACTTTTCTTTGTACTATCTCGCTCTGGACAGGTATTTGTAAGTTGTCAAACGATATGTCCTCTCTAATTTGATCTCAAGCTGAAAATTTTGTTTTGTAAACAATTTCGTGTGCATTTCTCTCTTAAGTTCGTCGGATTTTTGAATGAAGTATTAGAATGGTGGTATTTGGGTTGTGGTTTCCGTTTTTTAATATGATTTGGGTTTTTTTTAGGGTGTGAAGTAGAAGAGGGAGAGAGATACATATAGCGAAAGAAGAAGTAGAAGAGAAAGAGTTGAATGGCGGTGGAGTACAAATGTTGCGGATCGGAGTTCTTCATTCACATTCTGATAATTACGCTGCTGGTTTTGTTTTCTGGTTTGATGTCTGGACTTACTTTGGGGCTCATGTCTTTGAGTCTGGTTGATCTTGAAGTTCTGGCACAGTCTGGAACTCCCAAGGATCGTAAACATGCTGGTATATCTTTGATTGGTTCTCTCTCTTGCTTATTAATCTCATTTTTTTTGTACCAAACGTACTCTAGTGTAACTTTGATGTGATAGACTGAAAAAATTGGGTGGTACTTGAGGAGTAAATATTCAATGTCACAATGATATCACCAATGACTAAGTGGATTCAACTATTTCAATAACTAACCATAACCACCATATCCAATAATTTCTATGTTAGAATAGTGTAGTTCACTTATTCTACATTATAAGAAAGTCTAGAGAGAGAGAGAGAGAGAGAGATAGATTGCTTAGATCATGAAGATTCTGATGTTCTCATTGAATGAATTCAATTTACAAGAGAAGAAGTATTTTTATAAGATCTGAGATCTCCTAAGAAACTAACAATAAAATAGTGCATCAAATAAACAAACTAACAAGTCACTCAGCATTTCTGCTCCTTAAGTCTTTTGGGGTTGTGAAGGATGCAGCTGTTGTATGCTACAATATATATATGGTGTTTTATTATTGGACAGTTGATACCATGTGTCAGTAATGACGTGACACCGTTACATGAATATTTAGTCGGTATTTGAGTATTACAAACTATATCAGATTTTTTACAAACTATATCCGATTTTGAGGCCAACATTGCAACATTTAAAGGTGAAGTTATAATTTAAAAGGGCCTAAGCTACAATTAAAAAATTATGATAGATCTGAACATGTTGTGATCGATCATGAAAAATATAACTTTTAAAGGTGACGTTATTACCATTAAAAAAGTCAAGTTGCAAATTAAGATACTTCACGATTGGTCATGAATTACTTCAATTAGTTGTAATTTTTTTGTGTAAGTTGACCTCTAAATGTAGTAAATTTTGGTACGGTATTGAATTTTTTTTTAGCACCATAGCATTATCCCAGATTTTTATTGCTTTCTTTTTAGTGTGATTATGATTACATACTCCCCTATTTAAATCTTGTAATTTGGGCCAACAGCGAAGATAATGCCAGTTGTCAAAAATCAACATTTATTGCTGTGCACTCTGCTTATTTGCAATGCAGCTGCCATGGAGGTATACAGCGTTGTTATGTAATCAAACATGCTATTTCACATATTGTACTTGAAGTTACTCTATATTTGAGATGGTTTTTTTTCGTTTTGTCTCAGGCCCTTCCTATTTTTCTTGATAGCCTAATTACAGCTTGGGGCGCTATCTTGATTTCGGTGACATTGATACTTCTGTTTGGTGAGGTGAGTGATTCAATTTTTATCATTTTATATTCATAAGATAACTATGAAAGTGAGGCCGATAAACGGTGAATGTGCAACTTCATGTAGTTTTAGAAGCAATAAGCTATTGGGAATTTGGCTGTTATGTTTTGATATTAAAGTTAACATGGTGAGTTTGCATGCACTAATTGCAATTAATCTTCCTAAACAGATAATACCACAGTCTGTGTGCTCTAGATATGGATTGGCTATTGGTGCAGCTCTAGCTCCATTTGTTCACATTCTTGTTTGGATCTGTTTCCCTGTTGCATATCCAATAAGCAAGGTGATGTTTGTTTAGTAATGTCCCTACAAAATTCTGCTTCTTAGAGAAATAATTGGTTAGTCCTACAAATTAATTTTAATTTTTAAATAATGTTTAACAGCCGCATTTTTGTGATTTTCAGTTATTGGACTTTCTGCTGGGCCATGGGCATGTAGCTCTATTTCGCAGAGCTGAGTTGAAAACACTTGTTAATTTGCATGGCAATGAGGTATGTAGCTCTTTCTTGTAGTAGTTTACTCATATAACGACTTCTAATCCTTGTGGAGTAACGAGATATGTAGACTATTGCTCCTTATTTACTATATAATCTTCACAAAGACTTCGTAATGCGAAATTGATTGCTTGGAAAAACTTCTTTAGTTGCTTTCTGCTTTTGATTTTGGTTATCTGGAGCTTCTTGCCTCTTTCTTTTTATACTCAGCTTTGTAATCTTCTGCCTAAATGTACTCAGGCAGGGAAAGGTGGAGAACTCACACATGATGAGACAACAATCATTGCCGGAGCACTTGAGCTTACTGAGAAAACAGCTAGGGATGCAATGACTCCTCTATCTGAGACTTTTTCAATTGATATTAATGCCAAACTTGGCAGGTGTTGCATGTTTGGTGAAGTGTTGGAGAAAAGGTGAACCCTTGTAGTTTTTTTCAGTTTTGTAATAAATTGCATCTCTATTATACTGCAGGGATTTGATGAATTTGATATTGGAGAAAGGGCATAGCAGGGTTCCAGTTTATTATGCGGAACCTGCGAATATAATCGGACTTATTCTGGTAATCTTCTATTTATTCTTTATTGTTCTTATTTCATGCAAGCCACATATAATGAGGCATCATTTGACCGGCTTCGGTTCATGAGTCTATTCTGTACATTTCTGCTTCCATATGCTGGATCGAAACAGTCTTAGCTCATTTTCGCCTCCTCTTTACTTGCGTCATTTTGAGATACCTTGATCTCAGTTAATTCAATGCAAAGACCATTATACTAGAAGGCATTTTATGTGGACATGTAGACGGATTCTTGTGAGAGTTTTAAAACAAATTCATAATTCAAACCGAAAGATGATCTCTTACATGAGTTTCACCAATTATTTGGCCATCAGATTGTAGAAATGCCTTACATCATGATAGCTAGAATTCAGAGGAAAAGGAATTTTATTCTGAGCTGCTTATACGGGCAGGCTGCTCACTGCTCAGGCATGCAGTTGAACTTGGGACTTGGGATATGAGAAGATAACAGTACACAGAGGAGCTGGCTTTATATTGGAAGTAGGTGTTGAATCAATTACTGTACCTGAAAAATTCCATAGGAGTTGTATATTAGACACATTGTAAAAGAGGGCGAAAAAAGAAGCAGAATTAGAGGTGAAAGCTTAGGCAAAGCATGTTGGGAGGGTTTAGAATTGGGCCCTTGTTTTGTCGGCTCCTGATTTCTGACCTAGTCAATCATGCCAATGAAAAAGGATACTTCAATTCTTTGTCTGTCCCTTAAATTTTTCTCTTTGTCCTCAAAAGAGAATATTGTGTGCGTAAGTCCAAAAAGGGGGTGATTTATGGCAATTCTTATTAGTTTTACCTTGGTCTGAAAACAGGGTGAAAGCAATATAGAAGAATGTGATTCTGATTAAAGTCAGTTCGCTTTTCTCATCTCTTAATGTGTATATTTGAGAACTTGTATAGCTTTTGACCTAGACATAGCCTCGCAGTAGTTTAGCCTGGTGTGCCCACTTATAGTGTCCAATTATCATTTGCTGATTCTACTGTCATCAGTTGATTTCTACAAACTTGTATGTGTTGGTCCCTATTTCTGTTTTCTTGGTTTGGTATGATTTGGTGTTCCTATTCCTTTATATTTTTATTCACAACTCACAGGCAAAGAATTTACTAACCATCCATCCAGAAGATGAAGTGCCTGTAAAGAACGTTACTATTCGCAGGATACCAAGGTATTTCACACCTATTCTTTTAATAAGAAATGTATGTTAAGTTATCAGAATTACTCATATATTAAGTTGAAAACATGATCTTTGTTTTGCAATAAATAATGAAGATCAACATTAACATTATGAAATGTACACTTATGCTGTACATGATAATTGCCAGTTCGTTAAGTATAGGTCATCAATTTTCGTTTTTCCTACTGATTGGAAAATAGCTAGCCAATCGCAACTATCATCCTGAGTTTTGAAAGGATAGAGTTGTAAAAAAAAACTCATTTGATAGTTTCTTGTCTGTGTGAAAATAGCCATTTAGTTTGGAGTATTTCTAGGTCGAGAAAATACTGGAAATTTTTCTTCATGGTTTGTTACCTCTTTATCTTTTTAGTATGACTAAAATGGAAGATATTAAAACAAAGCAAAGAGAATAATGTACATAGACTTCATGATAAAGATAGGCATAGGCATGGTGGATTTAATTGAGAGAATGAACTGACTTGAAAGATGCTTCATGCACAGCATCTTACAAATAAACTCTTGTTGCATATGTTGTTCTAGGGTTCCGGAAACTCTGCCATTATACGACATCTTGAATGAGTTTCAGAAAGGTCACAGCCACATGGCTGTTGTTGTAAGACAGTGTAACAAGGTGGTGGACCAGCCTGGCAGCGAGGGTCCTGCAGAAAGTAAGTGCTCAGTGCTTACAATTTTACTTTTTTGTTCCAAATTTTCATTTCTTATCACGATTACCCTTTGTTTTTGGAAAATATTGTCTCTTTATCCACAAAGATCCCGTGAAGGATGTGAGGGTAGATGTAGATGGTGAAAAGCCTCCCCTGGAAAAGAGTTTAAAGGCTAAAAGGTCGTTCCAGAAATGGAAGAGCTTTTCCAATGGAGGGAACAATTCTTACAGGGGCACAAATAGGAGCAAGAAGTGGTCAAAGGACATGTACTCAGACATTCTGCAGATAGAGGGAAACCCACTTCCCCAGCTCCCTGAAGAAGAAGCTGTCGGCATAATAACAATGGAAGATGTCATTGAAGAGCTTTTACAGGTAAACCAAAGACTTGCATTGGTCTCAATTCTTTATTCTATTTCTCCCCCAATTTTTATAGACGTCCATGTATGTTGACATTGATTCTGCTCCCAATAGGAGGAGATCTTTGATGAGACAGATCACCATTTTGAGGATTCATGACAGTGGTTCTGTTGATACTGAAAAGTTTTACTACACAGAAGGTGATGAAAATTTTGTTATGCTCAATTGGCACTTAGGCTATAATGGAGGTGGACATAGATAGATGTAGATGGTTATCTGGGAGAGCATACTGGAGTCAGACAATTTATAGCTGAGATGTATGAAGAGGCAAATATGTAGGATTTGGTGTACTTTCTTTCATATAGCTTTGAGTGACCAGAGATTAAAAACTGTTTGTTCTATATGTATTTGCTTGGCCCTTGAATTGGCCCCTCCCATCATCATTTGTATATGTAGCCATTTACTTGCTCATCCACCGAGTCGGTGACTTAGCATCTTTAGACTCGATCATTTACCTTTCCAAATCCAGCTGTAGGTGGGAGTCTATGTATTGTATACAACATTTCTAGCCATTTTCTTGCACAAAAAACCTGGATTTGATGCTATGGCTTAGCAATAATTACTATGTAAGAGTAAAGCATTCCTTTCTCATAAGAGGAGCATAGGCAAGGCAAATAAAATGTATACTCCACAAAATTTGTAAAAAATTTTAAAATAAAATGAGACATTAGACAAGGGACAGTTTATCAAATTTTCTATGGTATGATTAGCAAACAGAATTCACTGATTCAATCATGCATATTGATTTCATATGAAAAACGTGGTATGTTCATGATTAAGCATAGCGTTCTATCTTCTAGAGTAATTATCTAGCGAGCATTGGCATTACAGAAAACATGATTCCATCACATAACAGACCTTGGTAGATGCTAAAAGAGATGAACAGACCTCTCAATCCACCTGAGTTTCTCCACCACCTCGACCAATTCTGGCCTATTTTCTCCTTTGTTTTCGACGCATCTCAGAGCAAGAGCCACCGAAGCTTGCAGCTGCTGCTCTTTCCGAATTCCTCCATCCTCTGCCAAAATAGTATCATCCAATATTTTGTTGAACCTGTTGTTCTTAACATGGTCTTTCACACAATCTTTCAAGCTGCCAGAGTATGGGTCCAAAGGCTTCTTCCCTGTTAAGAGCACGAGCAGAAGCATTCCAAACATGTAAACATCAGTCTTCAATGTAATTATGCCTGTTATCGTGTACTCGGGATCTCCGTAACCCGTCGTTCCAACCACACAATCCTCCACCGATGATTCTCCGGGAGGAATTGATGTAGACAACGAGAATTCTAGCAGTTTAGCAACACCATCTTGATCGATCACAATATTTTGTGGATTCAAATCCCTGTAAACAATGGGCGCGGGAAATGCAGTATGCAGATAAGCAATTGCATTTCCAATGTCAGTTGCAATCCTAAGCCTGTTTTTCCACCTGAACGCTGTTTTTGGACGAGGGTAAAGCAGATTTGGAAGCTGTTCAACTTTAGTCCATGCACATTCATAGACCAGAACTGGAATTTTGAATTCTATAGAGAAGCCTAAAAGCTTCAAAACGTTCTTGTGTTGACTCATCCGCGATGTGATTACTATGTCCCGGATAGCTCCGGACAGGGATCTGTCCGGAGAAAACTCTCGAAACTTCTTAACTAAAATTGGGCTTTTGTCAAATGAACCAGTAAAGATATGACAATTTCCAGTATACCCAACTATCTCTTTGAAGTTGTTAGTGGCCTTGATGAGCTCTTTGGCAGTGAACCTACGAATAGGAATGCCCTGTCCGCCATTAGAAGAGGCTATAAGTTCCTCCAGTTGCGCACTTGTGTTCCCCGCAGATAAGAACAATTCTTCATCCTCCTTCTTGCTTGTTTTCAAGAGAGAGAATAATCTTCTTCCGAATTCCATAGACTAATTCACTTTAGAACAACAATTCTGCATACAGTAAATGAAATCTTCATCAGAAAATTAAGTTAAGAAGCCATAAAAAAGATTATAATGATACACAAACGTTGATATCTGCAAGGATTTCCACGCACCCAAGACTAAGTGTTTTGAGAATTCAAGCCTAATTAGTCAAGACAAGACTTGATTTCTTATGTCCCCTCTTTGGAGATTCTGTCGAGTTCTTTTTTGGGGCTTGTCATCATCCATTTGTTGGTACTTTGAGATGCATTATTCATTGTCGTAGATCGTTTTTGATTGTAATAGTGATCTAGTGATGAATGTATATATATAACACCAAAAGAATTCAAGCCCACAAACGAAGCGACGCTGTTTTAAGTTTATCAACAAACAAAGAAGAAAAATAATTATGTAACTCACAACTAGACGAAATGCGATCGTTTTGCTTCTGAGACTCTGGATCGCCTGAAGGAGATTGATTACATGTGCATTCCCTCCTGTAATGGCTTCAAAAAGTCAGGCATAAGGATCTGAAAATAATGCCTTTTGTACTTAGTCTTCAGTCTATGTAATGTGACCGTGTGGAAAGGTTCAATAGGCAAGTCAATGTTGACCCCAATTTTCTACGCCGTGTGGGGGAGGGGGTCATTATTTTTTGAATAATGTTATATAAATTTAAAAATTAGACTTAATAATCTCAACCATTAAATAGGTAGGGAGTCCCAATAAATGCTAGGACCCACAGTAAAATCAATAGTTGAAATTATCGAGTCTAATTTTTAAGTTCACGTAATATTATTCTTATTTTTTTCATTTTTGAATAGGGGGTTAATACTGGCATTTTGAATTTAGTTTGACTTGGAAATGAAGGACGTGCACCATACTCTCGTTATACTGAATTCGGGAGACAAAAAATATTGAACATTCTCATCACGGTGATTATTATAAATTCACGAATTAGAGATGCTGTAATATGCTTATTCCCAAAATTTTTCATACCAGACTAATCCACTAAAATGCAAATAAGAATAACAAATGTGATCAATTTAATGAAAAATGAAGAGATACCGTCTATAACTAAATAAAAATGAATATTTTCATAAAAAAAAAAAAAAAAAAAGCCATCAAAGGCTTCCCAAAAATTGAGATTTGGCTGAAGAGGTTGATTTTAAACTCCCTTACAAATTTCAGCATTGGAATTACTGAGGCTAGCTCAATGGCTAGGCCATTGAAACTCTCGCTTTAGGCCCCGAACTTTCAGGGGTCCCATTTTTAGAAGGTTTAATTAAGTCTAATTCTATTTTTTAGTGTCTCGAATAAGATGTTTAGATGAATATTTAATAAAAATTTTAGACACATTCTTCATTCAGCCTAATTTTTTTCTTAGATCCCGAATAAACTCATGTTCAAGTAAGTCTCCTTCTATTTTTAGGGCCCAAAAAAATTATGAGCCTTAAATTCAAATAGGCCCAGTATTATTTTTAAAGCCTCAAATAAAGTTGGGTTTTAAGGGACCGGTGCTTTTTTTAGAAATTATAGGGTAAAAAATACCACTTTTAAAAATATAGGTCATAAAGTACACAATTTCTAACAAATCTCTAAAATATCCCTTTCAGTAAAATGGGAACCGATTCCTATATTTTTACCTCCACAACTGAAATATCAGGGATATCAACTGTTACTCATAAAACTCCTTCAATATCGCTGAAACCTCCATTTATTTTAAAATTGATAAGAAAACTTCCCTAAAACCTCAATTCTTTTCAAAATGTCCTAATTTTAACAGATGTAGACAATTTTCTCTTATTGAAAAATCAACTCTTGATCAAAGTATCAACGGAGTTCAAATCCTTTTGTTTTCGATTAAGAGGACTCATTGAGATCATAAAACTCTCTAAGGAGTTGAAGCATAAGGTTTTGAACATTCTCGATGTTGAGGTGGATCGCAAAGGAGGATCGTGAATTGTAGAAACCACCATGAATCTGTACATGGAAAATGAGGATTCTAAAAGGATTCATCTTCTTTGAGGCTTGCAGACCATGGAGGCAACGTTCAAGAGGTGTAATGATTTTTTAGAAAAATTTCAACCACACCCCTTCTACTTTACTATATTTTTAAGGATACTCTCTCTATTATCAAAAACATCACTAACATCTCTTCTAGTGTGACATTGACTTGTATCAGTATGATATTAGCTTGTAGCAATGTGACATTGGCTTGTAGTATTTGTGACATTGTTGTGTATCACCGTGTAAATGTGACATGTACCACTGTACCTAATTTAAATTTAAAATATTCATGAAAAAAAACACTTAACAATCAATAGTATTATATAAGGTGAAAACATATATTCTTCATTACGATTTATAAAAATAAAAATAAAAATAAAAATAATTATATAAATGTAGGGAAGACATAAATAAAAAAAATTATATGAATGTAGTGTGAATTTTGGATGGTAACAATGTGAATTTTGGCTGGTAACAATGTGTCATTGCTGGTACCATTGTCATTAAAAGGCATCACTATGACATTTTAGTTTATAGTATGATGACATTGATTGGCAGGAGGGTGTTATTGACATATATTTTTGGTTTGAATGATAAAGGAATAAATATGGAATGAATGTTTCAATAAACGGTTGTTCAAATTTAGATGAATAGGTAATTTAAAATTCAAAAAAGATATACCATACAATTAGGAAACTGTATCTCTATATAACTGTCATATTTGTCTCCCATTAATAAAGAAAAAAGGACAATTTAGTAAGAGAAAAAAATTATAATTCACCAAAAGTTTATCTCATCACCAAACATTTACACATAAAGGTAGTTATACACATATATTTTATATTGAGGTACTTTTACACAAATAAGTATGAAATGGTGTACCTCTTCACAATTTTCCCAATAAAGTTTGTATGCTTATGTTCAATTAAACCCAATATCGTTTTTAAGGTCTTTAAAATTTGATTAGAAAGATTTTACTTCTAGGTTCAATTAAATTTTATTTTATTTTTTGGACCCTTACACTAATGTGATACTAATTTCTTTCATAATAATGTTTTTTTATGTATTGCAATCTAAAATATGTAACAAAACTACATAATATTTTTTTTTTCAATATACAATTATCAACTAGTTTGAATAATTTAAAAATTATTTTATTTATTGATTTTTCTAAAATCTAATAATCTTTTGATAAATTAGAGTTGTTTAGACTTGAATTGAGTTTGTTGAAAATTTGTTTATATTATTAATGACAACATAAAAATCACTTGAGTCAATAAAATTTGACTTAAGTTTTGTTATTTATGATTTTTTTTTTATTTTCATTTATTGTCCTACATTAAATCTAGTAAAATTTTATCTCACGTTTATATTAGCTATCAGACTTTGTTCGGATTAATTATACTATTTATCGACAAAAAACATGTTAACAAATCTTGAATATAAAAATCTAATAAGTATGTTCACATCTTAAAAGACAAGAATATAATTTTTAATAAATAAATTTTAGATTTAAGAAATTATACATATTTATTTATATTATTATTTTAAAACTTAATAGGGCCTCTTTTAAATTTTCCCCTTAGGCTCCGTTTTGTATCGAGCCGAACCTGAAATTACGTTTCACGTTCCCCCTCCAATTGCCATACTTGCTATATGCCATGCTTACCAGGATCAAAAGCTGATTGAATCGAAAAAATACTTTACACATTTCAGGCGGCCAAGAATAACTATCGTCATTGCCATGATTTCCATCGACCGGTGAATTTCATTTGTGACAAAAGTTTCTCACGTCTCCACTGACAGAAATTGGTAGAACAAAAATTTCAGTAATAAAACTGGTGTATAGTTCAGCCAAGATGGTCATCTTTCTAGAAACAATATTACTATATCAAATCATGGTTCGAGGTTATGATATCGATTATTGACTTGGAGCACTCTGAGACACATCAGGTACAGAATCGCATCGCGGTATCGGACAATACAACTTAAAAGACAATGTTAAACATTGGTTTGAGTCATCCTATCACTTATAAGCATGTCCAGCTTGGTGTTCGTCGAAGGATTCCTTAACCTAAATGGATGGATCATAGGGAATAGGGATCTGAGTGGATTTCTTATAGTTGATGATGTACCTCAGCAGAACGTGGACAGCCCAACCAAATCCATTCGGACTTTGATAGAGTTAAACTTTCACAATGTCATCAAAGGCGACAATAGACCGAAGAGGTTGGATGATCTCTTCCTTGATTCCCTCTTCTGTCAAAAAAAAAAACAAGACACAAGATTAGAACTACGTAGTCTTCCAAGCATGACATGCCAAGCAAGGGAGATCCACATACCTGACTGCCTCATGCCTTTGGGACAGAACAAGCCATCGTGCTCAGGTCTAGTGCCTCTCTCCCACCAGTCGCCTGTCGGAGTTAATCATGCGGGTCACCAAGTACATGGATGGGTCTTGAGCTTTGAGATAGTATTTTTTGTCGGGGGTCAATAGAACCTCATAGCAAAAGAGTATTTCATCCAACCCCAAGTTTATTTTGAGAATATAGTTCAAGGCTACAACTCCAATGACTATCTTATACAAGTTCAAGCAACACTGGCCAGGAACAAGATGAAATGCATCAGGAACTTGAGCAATAAAGGGGTAAGGGGAAACCTGATTCCTCCTTCCATTATGAACTTGGTGTAGAAAGGCATCAGCTCAGAAGCCCCTTGGGTCACTCAGTGTCAATCTGTTTTGTAGAGTATGAGCTCCACATCTCTCGGGATCAGATACTGGGCCCAAACATTGACCAACATGTGGGTATCACTCTTTTGAGTCTTCTTGGGTTTGGGGTCTTTCTTCAGTTTCTGTGATCTATTAGTTCTAGCCATGGACTTGAAAGAAAAAGGAGTAGGAGAAGTAGAGTAAAATGAAGAGTTTGAGCAAACTTACGGAGAAACTGTACAGTGGTCTTTGTCTTCTACAGTAGAGGATGCTCAGGCCAACAAGCGTGTTTCTGGGTTTCAAGATCTCGAACAACCCCTTAAGATGAGTATCCCTTGGTATTTAACAACCTGAAGTTTGGTGATCAAGGATTGAAGTAGAAGAGAGTGTGTGACTGGTCAGGATTTGGAGTCTGGAGAGCCAGATCATGAAGTCATAGCTCTGGAACGTGTGCATGAACGTTTTGAAGATGGTTAGGGTTTTCATTTAGTGTACGAACATGATTGATCGAGAAAACAAAACACACATCCGAATGGAATAGGGTTAGTACGTATCGGGAAGTTAAGGGTGCGAGGATGACAATTTGTGAATTAAATCGGGAGCCAATTTGGGTCTTAATAATTTTCTAGTGATTTATTTAATATGTTTGAATTTTTTTTAACAAAGTATATGTGTATAAATTATTTTTCAAACATTGGAAAAAATTAAGGAATTACAAGAGTACCCCTCCTTGAAGCTTCTCATTGCTTGTATGGATGCTAGGTGTCAACGGGTGGCACACTAAGGCCCTAACAAC